TAGCCCTCGTGTAGCTTTGCGCGAAATTCCGAAACAAACAAACAATCAATTCTTTGTACACTATATAGTCGGCGTATTTAGGGAGCCAACCCCTATATTATGTAAGAAGTGAAGGTGTAAAAAAATTAATACACATAATATTAAATTTTGTTACACACATTCGTAGAATAATTACTTTAAAAGAAACGAAGGTATATTTAAGGCGATGTTTTTGACGTATATGTTTTATTTAAAAGGCTGCTTTTCTACTGGTAAAATTATATTATATGCGCTTAGTGAAGGTTGTGTCTTAGTCTAGGCATATATTTGCCCGTTGCTATGCAATATATATAGAGAATTTAGTTACACAGAAATTATAAATGATCACTATATTCTCAAACAAATCTCCATGACAATCTCCAGCTGCAGCTTAACATTTTACATCTCGAACTAATGTGATCAAATAGTCAATAGCTACAGTAAATCATTATGAACCGTATCAGCTAGCTACTAGCTATGTTTATTATCATTACAATGTACAAAGTTAGCCACCGTATCATGTAATCCTTTGCTCATAGATGTGCATGAAAAAGAAAAAGCCAGCAAGTAAGATAAATAAAAAATTCGGATTTAAAAATCTGCAAATAGGGCTCGTAAAAAAAGGAAACGAGGCTAGAGGTACTGTAGACATTACTTATTCAAACTACAGATCACTATTTTGACTCCACCAAATGTAATTCTAGGAAACAGCATGGAGCCAAAATAGGGGTTTGTAGTTTGAGTAAATAATTTCTAAAGTATCTCCAGCCTTGATTCTTTTCTTTTCTACTGCCCCTACTTGCAGGTTTTTAAATCATCAATTCTTTATTTATCTTGTGACATAATGCTTCGATGACGTGAACATTAACTGATTTTAAATTGTCCATTAATATTTGTATTAGGTCAGGAATTCTTAAAGTTTTAGGGAGTGTGATTTTCTTTCATGGATCTGAACCCGCGACATCCAACAAGAGGGCTATCTGCGCTAGCCATCCCTAATTTAGCAGTATAAGACTAG